GTGTGTGTGTGTGTGTGTGTGTGTGTGTGTGTGTGTGTGTGCATGGTAGACGGTCACCACAACAACCCCTTTTCCATCCAGATACGTAGATCCAAAATTGAAACAGCTTTACCTTATTATAATCTAACATGATTTAAAGAAAATGACTGCGATATTTAAATGATATTTTCTTCTCCAAAACTGGATGTCCGGGACCCTCCCAGCTGCCGGAATGTCCGGCTGGCTATCCAGGTCCGAACATCTGTCTATATGGGTATCTCCAGCACAGCGAGCTTAGGACTTAAACAAAACCTTCACTAATAGGAATTAAAATGGAAAACCTTTTATAGGATTCATAATTTCATACGCATCCCAGAACACTCTGGTAAAACACACCTATCTGACAGTTTCAAAACTGAGAGGAGTATAACTGGGATCACAGGGTTGGGCAAACTGAGATAGAACAGGATAAATTAGGCAGGGGTGAGGGGTGGTACATCCTTCCTCAAGGAAGTAATCAATGCCGTCCACTCAGGCCTCTCAGCCATAATGGGGAGGAGTGTGCGTGTGTCTATTATGTATTTCATATTGACTTGCCGGGGGAAAAGGAACCGGACTGTTGCTCCCCAGAATAGAAGGAGCCAGAAGCACAAGGTTCTGTTTAAAAAAAAGAAAAAAGAAAAAAAAAAGATGGTAGGGGGGTAAGACACGAAAAAGAAATTCGAAAAAATCCGAAAATAGTCTACACTGGAGAGGACTCCAATGCAAACAACGCTTGGCTGAGGGCCATCTCCAAATTTTTTATTTTTATTTTTTTAATGTATATATTTTTTAAACGCAGACACCGCATCATTTCATTAATAATTTAATATATAACTATATTGAGAACCGTGGCGGGGGGACCTCACAATTCCACCCGGGGTTATCTTGGCAGCAGTAGCCAGTTATGCTTATGATGTGGTCGGAAAACGGTTTCTCTAAGGATCTAGTCTTAAAAAAAAAAAAAAAAAAAAGTCTTAGCAGCTTGGAAACACCACTCTACTGGACTATTGGCTATCCCTATCTCCCCTAACCTGTAATCTTCACTTTCACCCCGGTTCCTTAAACCCTAAGCCCGACTTCCCGTCCTTTCTCCTATCTTCATTCTATTCTATCTTTCTGCTTCTCTCTCTTTCTGCTTCTCAATCACGATGATTCTTTAAATATTAAATAATGCTTGCTTTTCTTACTACTTGTCCTGTAGTCTCCTCATGATCTGGTTTGATCCTTCTATTCTCCAATTAAATATCAATTGGGAACCCTGCAAGCAAGCTACTTTCTCCTGTCGCAACACCTTTTGGCTGAAGCCATCTCCAAATTTGTAATAAAAAATAGAGATAAAAAATGAAACGAGAATATATTCCCACTTCTTCCAAAATAAATTTGTCCGGGATTAAGTTCTATACAACCTGTTGGAGACGGATATCACGGCACAATGGAAAAGAGCAAGAAGGCAAGCCCAACAAAACCCGGAGAAAGCCCGGGAGACTTTCAAAACGTTTCAACGGGTTACATTGGTTAAGGGTAAGATTGCAACAATCGAAGGATCCAGGGTAGTCTTTCACTGGTTCGAATATACGGAGCAATATGAGCAAGAATAGTGCGTTAGATACCCGGAGGTAGTATATCAAAATCATGACAGCTTTATAAGTTTATAGTTGAGGGTGTAGGGTGCAGGGATTAAGGCGTAGGCAGGAGCAATGCTAACAGGGCTTCTGATGTCAGAGATTTAGGGAGGGGTTCAGGGTGACTCTAGTTAGAAAAACAAACAAACAAAAAAAAAGGGTCAAAAAAATAAAAAGTGTCCGGGATTCTGGACAAAGAACAAAATCCTGAACGTGCACCTTATTTTTTGTCTGTTCACGTATTGATCGTCATTTGTATAGTACATTTAGTTCTACACGAGGGGAGGGAAAAGGGCAAGGGGAGAAGGACGGGGGAAGGGAAGGAGGAGAGTGGAGGGGGGAGAAAAGCAGGGGAAAGGGGAACCTGATTGTTGCCGGCAGAGCAAGACAACTACAGACTGGCACAAGAGGTCAGTCAGGGGATGGATTACAGAGAAAAATGAGCTGAGGAGCAGGCATTATGGTAAGTGGCCACCCCTCCAGACCGGACAGGGCTGGTCCGGGTGTGGCATGTGGAAGCACAACATCCAGTTCTTGGAGTTTGGTTGCTGTGTCGAATGGTACAGTGCAGACAGATGTCACAGGGACAACATGACTCCCGCATGCTAGGAGCACAGAGTCACGGACCACAGTTGTTCTAGCCCCTTTCTACGACTGTGACATGGCATGTGAGGGTGTCGTACATGCCTACAATGATGTTGACTGGGTATGAAGGAAAAAACTTGCATTGGCTATACACATAATGTTCACGACACAAAGAAGGCCGATCACATGCCAGCCCCGACATCAGGCCGGTCATCACAGTGGGCATTGAGCAACTTTCTTGGAATTCCGCAGCCAACATTTCCTGTCTGTGTAGACAGGCGATGGTGGGGGCGGATCCAAAGGATGTTTAGCAGTTGCAAAATCTGGTTTTCCACTTGTCGCCCTGGTGGCAACAAGTCGGCAAACCTTTCAGCACGGTGCGCTGCAGGTCGCTCACATGAGAGTCTGTTCTCTACCTCAGGCTGCTGTGTCTGTTCCTTGTCTGGCAAGAATGGAGAAGGTTCGATTACAGATGCGAACGGAGGAAGTCCACGACGATGATAGGAATGAGACAACAGCCAGCACCACGGCATCAAGAAGCCCCCAACAGTTGCCACCACGCCCAGTGACAAGGAAGCTGTCATGGAAGCCCTCCAAGAGAGTCGAGTCGAGGCCCAAACGGCACCGCAGAAAACGCCTGTCGATTATCCGGGGATGACTCGCCCCTCCCACACAAACTGTGGTCGCCTGTCGATAGGATATGGTGGATGATGGATGGAGAGTCCATCAGTGAAGACACATCCTCACTGTCCATTACAGCTTCTTGGAAACATTGGTGACACTGTCACATGGCATGTTACTGGCATGCCGACAGGAAACCAGAGTCACACCTGCAGTTATTCAAACTTGGCATGTCAAGAGCACAACAGTGCATATGGCATAATGGCAACGAATAAGCGGATGGGGGAATGAATGCGAGACAAAAATGGGCTACAGTGCTCATGGTAGAGGCTGGCAGTGACCATTCCCTTCGTAGTGATCTGAGCAGGGATTATGCCATGAGCATGCTAACCGGACTTCTCATGTATGTTGACTTAAGACACGGTGCAGCAACGGTCGTCTGAGGGGACACGCTCACCATTCAGAGCAGAATCTGTCAGATCTCCACAGTCAACTGCAGCAGCGGAGGGGATAGGGTTGGCCGGATTCCCCCCCGGACGTGACAGAGGTTCACCTCCTCAAATCTGTTCCCCGTCCAGATTATCCCCCGTCAGTGGCAGAATCTGTCTGATCTGCACAGGCAATTGTGGCAGCAAGGAGGGGGCGGGGAGGAGGCTGTCGCTGGAGGACATACTGTTTCCAACTGACGAGCGAGACGGAGTTGGACTCCGTCATCTGGTTTGTAGGAAGGGGTAGTATGGCCCACCAAGTGCACCATTCTGCCGTTATTGCAGAAGGTCCATGAAAGATAATAGCACTGAAGCGACCTGGCTGCTGCAGGATATACACATTGATACTTGGGTCCATATCAGTCGTACAACTTTGTGTGTGTGTTGTGGGAAGGGGGGGGTGGAGTTGCAATTGTCTTCTTCCCATAAATTCCATGGGCAGCACTTCCAAATTAATGCCAGGCACAGTCATCCTCTGTGCGCACAGTACGATGCTCCACTTCTTTCCAGCTGACAATGCCTAGAAAGTCAGAAACAGTGTAGGGCTTGCAATTGTAATCAAGGAGACACATGAATGGTGTAGTACGCACAGTGGCCTCGCCATAGCAGAATGAGGCTATTTGGCTCCGCACATTGTATGGCAGGGGGAGGCTCATCCCTTCCTGTCTCGGCAGTCTCTGCTAGTCACTTGACTCCAATGGCTTTGGCAAGTGTTCCTGATAGAGATCCCCATCAGTGGGGGGTTACATCAGATGATTGGAAGGTGCATCATCGTCATTTGCAGGATGAGGGGAACTATCGGAAAGGAATGAAGTAGTAGGGGGTCAGATGCAAGGGAGCAGAAGTTGATTGACCGCACTTGTCCTAAGGGTGGCTGCTACTCGTGCAAATGCTGCACAGGTGGCTGCACCTCGTGTTTTGCTGCACATGCAGGCCGGCAGCACTGTAATAATTGTCACTGCATTGTGAACACTGGACTCGATATGTGCTGTTCCTGGCTKKTATGTCCTTGGGTTGTGTGTGTGTGTGTGTGTGTGTGTGTGTGTGTGTGTGTGTGTGTGTGTGTGTGTGTGTGTGYGTGTGTGTGTGTGCSTGYGTGYGYGTGCCTGCGTGCGTGTTTGTCTGTTGTTTCCAAAGGTCTGTGTCGACTCATATAGTGTGTGTGTGTGTGTGTGTGTGTGTGTGTGTGTG